TCACTGGAGACGAGACTTGGATTTTATACCAAAATGTGCATCGAAAACGAACTTGGTCAAAAGGAAATAGTCCCTCAATTGTTGCGAAGTCAGGACTTCATCCGAAGAAAGTTCTTTCGTGCGTTTGGTGGGACTGGAAAGGCGTAGTCTACCACGAGCTCCTTTCTCAAGGTGAAACGATCAATTCGGCTAAATATTGTAATCAATTCGATGAATTGAAAGCCACCATAGCAGAAAAACGGCCAGAATTGGCGAACCGACGCGGCGTCGTTTTTCGTCGCGACAACTCAAAACCGCGTGTTGCGTTGTTCGTAAGACAAAAATTATTGCAGTTCGATTGGAACGTTCTACCTCATCCTCCGTACTCTCCAGACATTGCTCCATCCCGATTATTACTTGTCCTTCTCGTTAAAAAATTCTCTCCACGAAAAACGGTTTAAATTCGTAAGCGAAATAAAAACGCACCTTGAACAATATTTTGCAAATAAGCCTCAACAATTTTGGAAAGAGGGCATAATGAGGCTTCCTGAGAGATGGAAGAAGGTTATAGAACAGAACGGTTCATATATATCATAATAAATCCATCTTAAACAAAAAATATCGTGTATTCATTTCGCATCAAAAAAAGGGAAGAAACTTATGGGACACCTTAATACTTATGAAGTGTAAAAATGTAAGCGAGAGAGAGAGAGAGAGATTATAAATTTCTATAATATTGTAAACATTTTACAATGTAATAAGTTACATGGTTTCCGAACTTGTATTTATGACGAAAATAATTCCGTATTCGATGAAGGATCATAGCACATATTAATATTAACAACGTTCCCGATAGACCAAGTACTACTGCCAGGAGAACGGTGTCAATTTCTAACCAGGGGTCTTCGTCAACGTGACTCTTGGGTGCTAAAGTGATTGGAGACCTAGAATTGTAAAAAATGTAGTTAATCAACGTTCGAGAATATTTTTCTCTTGTGCTGTAAATTTTGTACCATTCTGTATTGAGAATATTCATAAATATCAGGATATGATATACTCTCAAAAGGTGGATAATATTTCTTTGCATAAAAATTATAATTTCATGCAAAACCGTTAAATTTTGCAAGTAAAAATATTACAGATAAAAACGACTGTTGTGTGTTGCTTTATAAGAATGATGAGACAAAATTTATTTTTACTTTTCGCCATTGCTATTACAACGTACGCTTTAATTAAGAAATGTGTGTGCGTGTGTACGTATATATTAGTGGTATTACACAAAGATTCTTTCTTAAATAAAATATGGAAGAAAGAATTCCATATATTACAGTATTACAAAGATTCTTTCTTAAATAAAATATGGAAGAAAGAATTCCATATATTACAGTATTACAAAGATTCTTTCTTAAATAAAATATGGAAGAAAGAATTCCATATATTACAGTATTACAAAGATTCTTTCTTAAATAAAATATGGAAGAAAGAATTCCATATATTACAGTATTACAAAGATTCTTTCTTAAATAAAATATGGAAGAAAGAATTCCATATATTACAGTATTACAAAGATTCTTTCTTAAATAATATATGGAAAAAAGAATACCAACAATTTTAAAATAAGCAATGTGTTAAACCGATCGTTTTCGTTGACATGGTAGATTTAGTGTTTAAGTAAAAATATTTACTCACGAAGGTTCGCTTTCCTCTTTAGCGAGTTCATCAAAGGATTTTTCTACTACTCTACTGAGATCTTTCCCCAGTTGTGTGAAGGTGGATTTACCCAACCAATCAGCTAAGTCGTCGCGATTTATTTGACGTAATCTGTGCGTTAATGCTTCGTGCGTTTTTCCTTTACCCTCGGAGGGAGAACTGTTCCAATGGATCAGGTGTCGAATACAAGGTATGTCATCGTCTACATTTCGTTCTTACAAAATTACGAATAACTATTTCATTAGGTCATATGAAGCGTATATCCTGCTGATAAAACTATTTTATATACGGATAATCTTTGAATAACACGGTTGTATTTGAATTACACAAAGTTCATATAGCAGGTTTAAATATTGCTTTGGACTTCAACCCTTAACGCTCAGTTAGCTCCAATACAGAGACATCTAATGTTTATTTCACAGTTTAAGCGGAGCGTCAAGGTTTAATAGTTTTAAAAGTTTCCTTGTTAACTAAATAATTGTCTGAAGACAATTATATTCCTTGTCTAGACTTGATCATTACTTAGATTTTACAAGAAAAATATTTATATACTATGATTTGATTTATAGCTAATACTTTCATAGTGTGAAAGATGTATTACAAATAGTTAGATATATTATAAAATATAATATTTTGAACAACTTTTTCCTATATACAGGGTGTTCCACAATTATTTTAACAGCCGAAAATGAGGGGTAGCTGAGGTCATTTGAAGTAAAGGTTATATCAAGGTCATGTCAAGGTCATGTAAAGGTTATATCAAGGTCATGTCAAGGTTATATCGAGGTCATGTCAAGGTTATATCAAGGTCATGTCAAGGTTATATCGAGGTCATGTCAAGGTCAACATATGACATTTTTAAGCCAGGTGTACAGTGAAGATTAACAAAGTATGTAAATGATATTTTAATTTAAACAATTCCGTGTCCGAACACAGTTCAACGAATGATTCGCATAGCTAATTTGAATGACCTTGACATGACCTTGATATAACCTTGACATTGTACGAGGTCAATGCACTATCCTGCACACATTTCCGTGCATCAAGTGGATTTGCAACTAAATGGGTGAGTTTCTTATTGATAATATTCTTCATATTTCTCTAACAAACATATCCTTTAGATCCGTTAACACGATTATTATTTATTAAATGAGCTTTGCGAATCATTCGTTGAACTGTGTTTGGACACGGAAGTATTTAAATTAAAATATCATTTACGTACTTAGTTAATCTTCACTGTACACCTTGCTTAAAAATTTCATATGTTACACACAAGGCGTCATGCACACTAGAAAATTAAAATGGCCGTCACGGTTAAATTACTTACTATTTCGGGTCCGAAAAATTAGTAAATATTCTTCAGACGTTCTAAAGTTAAGGTGAACAGCGTTTTTCTTAAAAATATCACTGTTACTTAGTAAAAGAAAATCCGGAAAGTTCTCGCTTCGTGATTTGTTCAATACTTCGAACGCGGCTCGAGTCCGTCCCGACCATCTGTCAAAGCCTCGTGCTGCGGGCTCTCGAACTTCGCGCCTCTCATTGGTCAGTGTTTTCCGTTAATAACTCGTAAACAAAGCCGCAGATTGCATTTTCGCAAAGGAAGAAGTTACTTCAAATCACCTCAGCTACCCCTCATTTTCGGCTGTTAAAATAATTGTGGAGCACCCTGTATATATGACAAGCACTCGCTTACTTTCTGAAATATTAAGGAAAAATTGTTGCTACTAGTTATTGAATTTCGTTTATACGTGCATGTTGCGGCAGCGTGTGTGGGTGAGTCAGCGGCCACCGCTCGGTTAAAAAAAATGTTCTTAAATGCATTATACCTGTGCTGTTCGACAGACCTCGCGGCGGCGAAGGGAAAAGCCATGGGCTAAGAGCGATGGATGTTTACTTTTTCATGCCGTCCTTCCTCTCTCACTCACACGCATTGCCGTTATATGCTGATCGTCCGATGCTGATTCAATTTCACTCAATCTCGACGTAACCTGCAATCGATCTCTGACACCGTCTTCAGCCAAATAACGTGTCGTTACTGGTGGGGAGTCTCACGAGAAGCTAAGGGACCCCTCGGGAGTGGGTCCTAGAGCCCGCCGATCGGTGTTTGCTCTGGACTGAAAATCGCTGCCCGTGTAGGCAAGCTGTTGAACAGTTCTGTATTATACGTTGCGGTGATCGATGGACAATAAAGGTTCCTGCACAGTTGCTTCTACGAGACTGCAATAAATCCGCATTTCCCATGAACGTTTGCATGTATGGTCTTTTCGCCTCCTACACTTTGCCAACTCTGACCAAACCATGGACGCGATTAAATTTTTGTAGAACTTGTCGAAAAGCTACGACCTTACTAATTTGGAGATTAATCTGGGTTTAAGAAAGTGCGGGAGCGGAGTTGCGAATGCAAAAATTCATAGAAAGTGCAGATTTACTTTACGATCGCGCGAGCCTTCTTTTATAGGCAGAAGAAGAATGGCTTCGGCTGGCACGGCGTTCATCGATACCGACATAGACGCATAACTATGTAATCAGAATTCATTATCTAGTAGCAATAGCACGTTGACTGCCACGCGTATTTACAACAAAATCTCCTACAGGCCACCCGTGCCGCTATAGGAAGCGTGCGCTGTTAATTCATGTCTGTTTCTGTTCCTGCATGAACAGTTGGAATCTTTGCCGAGTACGGAATGGTATAACTTAAAATCTCTGCCCTTATTTTTTTTCAATAATGAAAAGAGATCGGATTGCCCGGAAGGAGAAGCATAAATAGAATTACATCGTCAGATTCTGATTCGGATACTGATAAATACAATCTTAGTGATAATGGATGTTATGAAGATACTATTGACGGGATTTTACGAGAATTGGTCATTTAAGAAGAAAGAAATGTTGATGATACCGAGGAAGCTACAGTTCAAATAAAAGCTCAAGTAAAAGATACGAAATGGACCGATCAGCGGCACGAGCAAATCTGAAAAAACCAACAACTTTTTGTCCAAGCTGTCCTAATCAACTTCAACTATGCAGAGAATGTTTTAATGTTATACGCTGCGAATAATTTTTTTAATAAACCATTTTTATAAGAATTCAATCGTTTCATTACCTCCTGTGGAATATTTGTCGAAATATTTTCGGAAATCCTTTGTAAGTAGTCAAATCAGCGTCACCCGAATTACGGGTGACGTGGCCTGATGAGAACTTTTGCTGTCACCCGAATACGGGTGACGCGGCAGTCAACGTGATAGTCTTTCTTTAATATCTCGGAAATGAAGCGAGTGCATGCCAGATATGTATAGAAAAAAGTTGTCCAAAATGTTGAGTTTTGTAACATATCCAACACCATCTAAATCGGAGAAGAAGTAGCTTCTACAATTTGACCTAATATACGTATGTACATAATGTACTTTCATACGTTGGGTGAATTATGCTATTTGTTATCGTAATATAAAATGCAATTGTGGAAGATTTCATCTGGATTGGACAGAAATAGTTAAGAGCTACAGGGAAATCACAAACAGATATTGTATAAATTTGATATACCAGCTTCTGCTAGATTATTTGGTAATTCGTACGTCGTGTAATGAAGAGCAGCGATTAATCTTCGACATTCGAAAGGATTCAGACGTGCAGCCAAATATTCTAACTCGTTCGCGTTAACGTCAATTGTACTGAAAACTCTGTATTGCGATAGAATTGTAATATAACACAGGCGTATAGACCATATGGTCGTTGTTAATAACATTTTCGTTGTGAAAGGTTACAATACGACTTCACAATTGCGATGTATGTACTTGAACAAAAGAACTGACATCTTTTAAGTAACATAGTAGCTTGTGGAAAAAAGCATTTGTTTAGAATTCGTCAAACAAAATGATAGAAAAGAATTTCTTCTTAGGATGATCAATATCTTTTTACATGTGGCAGAACAATTTAAACATTTTTTTAACCTTTTCTGAAAGTTTCTTTCAGAATTACTTTTCATCCATCGGTACACTACTGAAAATGAAGTTATTTATTCGAAATTAGTGCAGATTACAATTAAAAGACAGGAGTATTGTTTAAGATAATAACTAAAGATCGCAGAACATTAAAAGGATTTACAATGTCAATTTACAAGTTTCATCTGTGTGGTCTTCTCGTGCTTTTCTTTCTCTTCTTCTTGTAACATCTGTAACAATTCGTTGGTGATGGTTCTGGTTCTGTTTCTGCAGGTGTAATGAGCATGGCATTCTGTGTGCCTGTATTTATTAACTCGTACGATGGCGATTTTTTCTTCTTCACTCGCGATTTTCTTATAAAATAGCTTCTAGATACGTCATCGTCGTCCTCTACCGTTGCTATCAATTTCCTAATCGAAAAGTATATTTTGTGTAACAACAACAACGTAATGCTATAAATAGATTGCCTATAGAAGTCATGGTTATATACATATATCTTCAACACTCGTAATGCGATCGTAATGACTCGTAGTCATGATAAATAATTTAATATGTTATTCACCCTTTCTTTTTCTTTTTTCTTCTAAATATTCTGCTGCACAGATTTGCTAATCTGTTTCTTATAAATAAAGTGCAACAACAAGTGAGAAGTATAGTGGATGCTACAACGAGCCCGGCAGTCCGTAGCGAAATCTTCAAGGTTTTTTGTCCTAAGGCTTATTGAAACAAAGTTAATCGATGTACAGACAATTCCTGAAAAATTGAAGCATTGGCAAGATGGTTTATTACCACTGACTTTAGTTAACGTTTTATTTGTGGTTTGATTGTCAGCTTTAATGTCCTCCGCTTTTGTAGTAACGACTGGCACTGCAATTGTTGCAGATCCTTCGTAATCTCTGAGAAGAAAGAAATATTGGAAAAGAACATTTCAGGTGTCCAGTTTGGTCTAGGACTGTTGCTAATCCGACGACATCATTACTAATAATGTTCAATTAGTGCAAGGAAGTCTTACTCCGAGTCGTCGGCTAACTGAACGTCACGAACCACTTTCGGCGATTTCGAAGTTTTCATCTTGAGTTCGGTAAGGCACGCAGCTAAATCTCTTCTTCCGATTCGTTCAAGTAGGTCGTTTACAATTGGGCATGTGTTCTTTGTAACTGTCCTTAATTGACAAATCCATTTCACTAGTATTCGGAAACAGCTCTGTTCTCGTGCTAGCTTTTGTACTTCTTCGTCTGACAATGGATCTAAGAAGTCGTATCGCGAATTATAGTTTGTAAAATGTAACTCGGAGAAATAGAAGTAGCATGAAATAGCGATATACTTAAATAGAGAGAACATAAATTTTTATCGAATCTTGTATTTTTTATTAAATTTACATTCCTCGATGTGGATCTATTAAAAATGATTAATTTTTATTCACAGATGATTGCATGATATTAAAACAATTTAGTAACGAAAAACAGAAAATAATTTAAAGGAGTACCTATCTGGCGGGTGTTTATCGAGTGCTTACTCTGTATACTGTATTATAGCATATCCGGCAATGTTTACTTACACGGAGAATCCAAGGAGACAAGTTTCACACATTCTTCTGGCTTTAAGTTCGATGCTAATAGTTGGAGTTCCGGTACATCGATTTCAGTAATAATCTTTGCAAATTAAACAAAATAAGTAATAAATTCTAAAGAAAACTGTGATATCGTTATATCAGAGAAAATTCTCTTCTATAGAAATACAAAAGATGAACGTACCTGCAGAATGGAAGTAGCAAAGTATAATGGAAGTAAGAAAAGAACATGTTTGAAAATGTTCTTTAAGCGCATCGAGAGTTTCAGAAATTATGAAACCCTTTCTACATTTTTCTGCAGCGAAAGTGTTGCAATGAATTCTGTACTATTAATATAATTGATTAGGTACACGAGTAATCGATATGTATGCGGAAGAAAAAGTTCAGACATCGAAAATTAAAATGTTACTAATAATATAATATTTTACGTACTTGGTACAGATAATGGTTAAAAATATTAAAATCGGGACGAGGTTATTTTATTTCATTGACAATAGTCAGGAAACATAAGCGACAGAAACTGTTCTAAAACATACATTCCAAAATGATCATCTCTCGTGCAGCACAGGTAACATTATTTACGAACTTACTTTGATCTCGCATTTACGCGAATGTATCCTCAAACTCGAGTACTAAGCAATTTGTTATACATTTCAATCATTAAAATGATTGCTAGTTGGTACGGTTCATGATGACAGATTTCAATATTAATTGCAATCCTGTTTTTATTCTTTTTCTTTTAATCTAATATATTTCTAACAAAATATAGCAAAATGTCTGCTTTCACACAATAAGGTTAAACCGTAATGTACGAATTTACATATGCCTGTGCATTTATTTAATAATTAATTAAATATAAATGTGGAATCACGAGAGCCATCACACGACAATCGATTTAATCGAAACAACTGTCAGTTATAGAACTCTCTGTCAAAGGCGAAATGTGACTCATTTAAGGATTTCTAATAAATTTTAAACATGTTCATCCCAGAATGACATTTGTATATACGCTTTATATTTTGATTATTGTTTTTGCAGAAAACAAGGTGAGCTTTCTAAAGTTACCTATGTATTTTTAATGTGTTTTGAAACACATTAATTAATTATGTTATTGATAATATACGGGTAAGCGAACAATTTTTCTTTAATTTTTCTTATTAATTGATATGTGCTTTCATTTAAATCTCTGTTATCAGCGTTATGTGAATGTTTTCAGTTGATAAAAGCTACATACGAAATAATTCCAGAGAAAATAGAACATGACAGGACAAATTATAAAGTATTAAGTGAAGATTTAAATTGTTCATCGACAATATCGAGCGTGTACTTTCTTGATCTCATACAATGGACCAAGCATTATCCAAGTAAAGATTATTACTATTTCACAATTACTTTATTCATATATTAATGATATTTTAAAATGCGCATAAATTGCCAGTACCTAAGCTATTCTAATTTATATTATATTAAACTATTTTATATTATTGTATAATCGATAGTATGCCTTTTATTCAAAACTCAATAGAAACATCAAAAAATGGTAAGAAATTAAACATCAAAAAGTTTAAGAAAATAACAATTTCTCAATATTTTTTAAAGACGCTGCAATTTGTAAAATTTCTGAAAAAATGTGTCTTGAGTTTCTCGCTCGCTGCAGCATGAAAAAACTTAGATTCATTATTGCACCATTCGTTTTTGCAAAATTAAAAGGCTCTAAATATTGACAATTTTTCAAAAATTTGAAAATTAAAATATTCAAATATAGTTTTAGCCTCTCCGTACATATTGAAATATGATATCATTTTAAAATTCAAACCATACATGTAAACAGAATAAAAAGTTGTTTTTATTTGTAGTGGGAAAAATATCTAAGGAGCGTTCAACAATGGAGTTGACACGAAAGTTGTTAGGATACCCGGACATCGTAAAGTATATAAAAGAAAATCGCAGGCCGGTTAACTTATTGGATCTAGAAGACTACCATTTAGCAAATGTGTTAGAATTTCCAGAACACAAAGTTGTGCGAAGGTATGCGTCGAAAAATGATAAACATTCGTCCGTTAGGAGAAAGAAAGGAAAGAAGAAAAGAGCCCATAAAGAACATTCTGAGGATTCTATGAAGCAAAAGAAACGAAACCACGGCGCAGCATCAATGGGATATCATGCTGTTACGTAAGAATTTTCAATTTCATATACAGTATGTTCCAGCTATAATATGACAGTTAATTATTTCACATCTATTGATGATATAAAAAGGTTTCTGTGTAAAAATGATAAACTAGTTTCAAGCGGGGGCAATCATTTAGTTAAAATGTTTACCAAATTTTTTATCAAATCGATATTCATGCATATCGATTAGATAACACGATTTATTAATATTATACAAAACAGTAAGAATTCAATTTAACAGTATAACTAAAAGTAAGTAAATTAAAGTAACGAAGTACATATAGTATAGTATGTATACTTACGTAACATGTGATTTGGAATTATAAATATGTTAGTAAAATAATAGAAACCAAAATTTATCATTTCAAATTTATTTCAGTCACAAAAACCATAAACTGAAAAAGAAGGAAAACAAATTTAACCGGACGACCTGCTACCTACAGAAACATCAATCACTCTGTATATCGATCGTGTTTGTTCTAGTTTTTATCATTTTAATACTGGTCGCAGCTTATTACCTTCATAAGCGGAGCCGTTTAAAGGCACGTGGTACGCGATTCAAGTAATTATCATATACAGGTTAACTTTCATATAAAAGTGCATCGCTTCCAGACTTGTACAATTTTCCCGAAATATTTTTAGTTAGATCTCTGTTTCTCCGGGTAAAATTATCTTTGCACATACATTCGATTTAAAACAAAAATATGAGATATGTCAAAATTGTGGAAAGCTATAAAAACCTTGAAACTTTTCAGAACATGAGTGCACGAATATAATTTGAAAAGTGTTTTACATTTGCCATTAGCCATTTTCCAAATTAAGAATTAATTTTTGAGACGTTAACTGCAGAAAGATAATATAATTGATAAGAATATATGGTGATTATTGCTAAAAGAAAATTGTAACGTGACAATGGAAGTCTTCCAAGTTTGAAATACACTACTATTTATCAATCCTGACTTCTTTTAATTTGTGTGTTTCTCATAATAATATAGTTGGGTCGAGCATAAAGAAGACAAAGACACTTTAACCGATTACATTGAATGGAACGATGAAGCTGTATGTACCTGCTCGGACGTTCATATCGGAAGCACAAGAAAGTGTCCACTCTGCAATCGAATTTATCAAACGACTTCGCATATTTCTAAGAAATGTTTAAGTTGTATGAGTGTAAAAAAGTCGACAGATAAGTCCAAGAAAAAAAGGTTCAGTTTCCTCCAGAAATGTCTTCAAGATAAGAAGAAAGGAAAGAATTTGGAAAATCTAGATTGGAAGTGCGTAAAAAGGAAGAATATTGGTACGGTAGAACCTAAATATGTACAAGGTGTCAGATAGCTGCTGCATCATTTTCAGTATTTATCTTTGTGGAATAATCCCTCTTTATTTAAAACGCTATTTTAAGAAAAATATTCTATCAAGTTCCTTGAAAAGTGAATCTCTTCAAAAGAATATTTTAAACAAAAGAAACATAATTTCACAAACGATGGGTCAATTGTCTGTCTGAATCAGACTAAATGTTTTTCAATGGTATAAAAAATGTATTACATGGATATATAAGGTAATTAGTCTACCCTTATACCTCATAAACGAGTCATAAGAATAGATCTAATACCTCACGGTGTTTGAATTTAAGTGAACATTCAAACATTTTCCATTCCCGATGTAATTATAGTTATTACTAGTTTTTTGGATTATATTACCCAACATTCGCATAACATACTGTTAATGTACAAATCCTTTTTAAATTCAGGAAAACAGACAGAAAAATGGTTCTAAATAAACAGGAAACTTTTCCAAGCTCTATCCAGAAGGATCAACAGTGTGCTTGCTGTAAATGTAATTTGAATAAGAGAGGTATGTGCAATACAAATTTGTATACTATTTTCAATATTTGTGCTGCATTAATCTATTATAAAGATTATATTATATACTAAATATATACACTCATGAACAAAATTAAGGGATCAAAATAGCGATCGAAAAATTGCCAATGTTTGAACAGTTGTAACTATGTTGAAAAAAAATCGCGCAATAAAGAATTTTGCTCATTTTAAAGGACACAGTCCCTACTATTTGAGCTTTGTTCCAATTTTATTTCGGGATATTTTTTTACTCTGATGCAGGGAATGATGTTAAGGTACTTTAATCTTATTACAGAAAGAAACTCGACAAAATTTTATTAAATTCCATGCAAACGTTTGAAATTGGAGAATTTTTGCGAAATAAAAGCACCTTTACGTTTTCGCCTTGCATCTGAGTAAAATAGCATCTCGAAATAAAATATAAACAAGGGTCAAAAAGTAGAAATTTTGTCCGTAAAAATGAATTGGTATTCGATCAAAATTATTTTATCTCTTAATTTTACTCATGAGTGTACATTATCGATTTTTAATAGACAAAATGGTCCGTGAGGAAGAACATAGAAGAAAAATACTGCGGAAATTGAAAGCGAGAAAACGCAAAGAAAAAAAAAGAAGAAAAGAAGAAATACATAAGACAGAGAAATACGCGGACATATGTTTCAAGGATACTTGTAAATAAATTACTTTTTAAGTATGCGTTAAAAATTAATATTGGTGAA